CAAAGGTGGAATGGAGAGGGAAGAAGATTCCCAGTTGAAGTAGAATGCCAAAGCAGCCAAATTTGGTAACCAATATGGAGAAGGTTTCAAAACCACTCTATCACGAAGAAAGGTGCACTATGGATTCACACATGAGAAAGCTCTGAAATCTGAGACTCACCTGGCTAGGACTTCTGCTGTAAGAAAGAAAGCCTTTAGTGAGGTGCCAGATAGAACATTGCGAGTCAGGGGAGAAGGGAGGATCAACCAATCTGTTCAAATCAAGAGGTTAAACCCATTTGGGAAAAATAGGATGAATCAGAGACATATTTTTAAAGCTTCCTTTTGGGACTGAACTACAAAAGGAACCTTAGCTCACTCTTTGGATTGTGGGAGGAAACCCAAGCAAGCACACGGAGAACATGCAAACTCCTTGCAGATAGTGTCCTGACCGAAATTTGAACCAGGGACTCCCATTGTTGCAAGGCAGAAGTGCTAACCACTACACCACTGTGCCACAGATGACATACCAACATGTGGATCAGCAGGGGATCAATCATTATAGCCAATACCTCTTCCTCTTGTATCTTCAACAAGGTTTGAGGCCTTTGGAGGGAAGAGACACACGAGACTGAAGCTCCAGAACTGGGGGTGGGCATCCTGGTGCAGGGCTTGGTTATGGTCCAGAAATACCATGAGGTTTGCTTGTGGGACTCCCCAAAGAGTCCTATAATCAACATAGATGGGATTCAAAGATCATTCGGGATGACTTGGAAACTTCCAGCTCACAAGGTCTACTAGGGAATTCTGTGGCCCAGGAAAGAGGCTGAAATTTCCTCCACTTCACTGCCCAGGTGATGCTTATAAGAAGCAAAACTGGAGTCACTCAACAAAACTGGGTGTCAATACACCGAGGGGACCAATGGAATGCACTGGTAAGCTAATACCATGGTTGAGGACATCACCCTTCTGGCTTTAGACTGGATCTGAGCAATTTTGTACTTTGGAAGGGTAATTTTGAAGCAGACTGTGTCAAAAATCATGCTTAAATATTTTAGCTTCTGAGGTTGGCTCATCTGGCTTTTCCTTATGTTTACTTTCCAGCCAAAATTCACTAGAATCTGAAGAACCAGATCCCAATGACTCAACAGGACTACCCAGGACTGAGAAAGAATAAGGATGTTGTCCAGGTAGTGTTATATCTGCATATCCAGCAACAAAGATTGGCTATGACTACCACCAGTAACTTTGAAAATTTTCAGGGCCCAGCGGTAAACACTGGAACTGAAAATGACGACCGCTGAGGTGACGTCTTAAGTACTTTTCTTGGACCTGAGCAATTGGGATATGCAGGTAGGCATCCTCAAGTTCTGTCACCAAACAATCTTCCTTCTGAATGACCAAGCCTATTGTTGACAGAGACTCCATAGGAAAGGTCTCAACTTTCAGGAAGGAAGTTAGGGCCCTGAAGTTCAAAACAGGTCCCTATTGGCATAATGCATTTTTCACAAGAAAGTTTGGAGAATAGAACCAGGGCCGGCCTTAGGCCTTTAGGCGCCCTGTGCGTGAAAACCCCTGTCTCTTATTTTGCTGGCATGGGCACAACGTTGTTTTGGCGACAGCCTGCTCCTGAGAGACTAGGAAAATTGCCTTGACAAAAGGCTTGCTGGAGGTGGTCTTGCAAATTGGAGACAAAGATCCTTTTTGATGATAGTCAGAATCTATGAATTGGAAAACCTGTCTGCCCAGAATTTGCTTGAAAAGAGAAAGTCCTGCCCCCACCAGCACATCCTGGGTGGGCAAAGCTTCAGAAGGCTTTTTGCAAAGCCTTGGAGAACTGGGCAGTCTTGGATTGTTCTCCTTTCCTGGTTAATAAGAGAGAGACTTCTTAAACTGATCTTGAGGTCTTCTTCCAGATTGAAAGTGCTGCTAATGGCGCCTCTGTTCCTAAAGAAGAAGGACAGGTTTTTCCCAGGTCACATGGTGGAGTGCATTGTCCAAAGCCTTACCAAATAGTGCTCCCCCTGTAAACAGAATAGTGTATATACCCTGCTTGGGGGTCAAGTCCGCTGACCAATGCTTTAGGCAGAGGACTTTAATGGCAGTTAACAGAAAGAGCTATAGTTATGTGGCCAACTCAGCAACGTCTGTAGCTGCTTTTGTGAAGAAGTGGAAAGATAATTCCAGTTGGCCCAAAGCTGCATTGGCCAATTCATCCTCTGCTTCTGACTCTAAGGCAGATTTGACTTTAGAAGATCAAACTCCCACATTCCCACACTTAAAGCTATTGCTGGTTTACAGGCAGCCTCCGCTGTAGTTCATTCTGCAATCTATAGCATCCTTAAAGAAAACTGACTCATCTAACAAATGGGCTATACATCCAGTCATCCTTTACAAAGATGCGGCTACTTTGGGATGAGTATCCCACAACACAAAATGTGAGCAGCACCTTCTTTAAATTACGATAATACTTCCCATGATTTTGTGGTGATGACAAATCCTCCTCCCAATAATTTCCCTGCTTAGCAGGAGATATGAATAGAGGAATTAGCTCAAAATCAAAGGAAATAGTCACAACCTGTTCTACTTCTGAGGATAAGTCAGGAACTGGAATGTCACTGGAGCCACCTGACCCAAGACATAGTTCATCTTAGGAAGCGTTCTATACCTCCTCCTTTACATATGCTCTGATATCCTCATTCTCTGTAAATCTGTTGTGTGCGGCTTCCGTAAAAGCAAGTTTCACAAACCATGTTAGAAGGCATTCGTATCCTGCCGCCTGCGAATGGATGATGATTGGGTGCAGAGGCAATGGGAGGATGGACTTCCCAGTGGTGACCTGTGAGGGCATTTCGGCTTTCCTTTATTGCGTGCAGGCGGAGGTGGGTGCATTGCTCCCTACAAGAAGATATCTCCTTCTGCAACCAGGACCTCTCTGTCTGACACACAAAAATAGGGGGGAATCCATTACCACTTGCTCTTCTAAGTAAGCCTGAGAAGAAGAAAAATCCAGTCCCCTTCCTGAAAGCAGACTTCAGTGCCTAATCAGGATAAGGTGAACTCATCCTGGGCTATAGGAGAAGGGAAAGCATCTGTAAGTACAGGCAAAGGCAACAGTAACTGACAAGAATAAAGATACATAAAAGCTACCGAGGTGAAAAAAGAGACAAAGACAGTATACACCTAATGAAACAATAAGGGATACACAGAGTGATACCTCCACCTCAGCAAGAACCTACCAGCAGAGGGTGACGGGAAGGAAGATAAGCGCCGGCAAGGTAGAGTGGCTGAGCTGCAGTGCCTATGCCCAAATTAAAAATGAGAGCAGAAAGGAGAAAGAGCATCGTCCTATAAAATACCAGCATCTCAGTTGTCCAGCAAGCCGTTCCATCACTAGGGAAGCTGGAGGAGATCTTGATGATGTCATACAGTAATGCTGAGTTCCATGCTCCTCAGGACCAGGAAGGAAGGCAGAGGTTCATCCATCAGGCAGAGATAGAACCTGGGCAGGCATCATGGGAACCAGTAACAAAAGGAGAACACCTGTTCTTGGTGGTTGTTAGGATCCAAAGTGCCTCCAGGTGGCGCTGGAGACAAGCTCTGCATTTTCTGTGCCCACCTGCAGGTGTCTCCAGGAAGCCATTAGGTACCAGACCACCACTGGGTGGTGCTGAAACCTGCAGCTCCAGTGCTCACCTGCGGGATTCTCCCAGCTGCCAGTATTTAGCTACAGCTCGCGGTATACTGAGACGCTGCAGCCGGAGCGGATCCCGACATCGAGATCCGCCCAGCTGCGTGAGTGACAGCTGGCTCTGCCTCTAGATAGGCAGAGCCAGCTGTCACTCACGCAGCTGGGCGGATCTCGATGTCGGGATCTGCTCCGGCTGCAGCGTCTCAGTATACCGCGAGCTACAGCTCGCGGTATAATGAGCCTAGGGTGACGGGAGGACGCTAGTTTGTGTCCTCCCGTTACCCTAAGGAGAACTATGGGGTTAAGTCTTTTCCCCATAGTTCTCCTTTAAGAGGAAAAAAAAAATATCATTACCTGAATCCACCGACGACTCTCTCTCTCTCAGCCTACTCTCTCTGACGCTGGCAAAAGTTATACAATGCGTGTCTGTTACTATTTAAAGGAGAACTATGGGGTTAAGTCTTTTCCCCATAGTTCTCCTTTAAGAGGAAAAAAAAAATATCATTACCTGAATCCACCGACGACTCTCTCTCTCTCAGCCTACTCTCTCTGACGCTGGCAAAAGTTATACAATGCGTGTCTGTTACTATTTAAAGGAGAACTATGAGGTGAGCTCTTTTCACTCACCTCATAGTTCTCCTTTAAGAGGAAAAAAAAAATATCATTACCTGAATCCACCGACGACTCTCTCTCTCTCAGCCTACTCTCTCTGACGCTGGCAAAAGTTATACAATGCGTGTCTGTTACTATTTAAAGGAGAACTATGAGGTGAGCTCTTTTCACTCACCTCATAGTTCTAGCCGACCTGTGACAGTCTCATTGTCACAGGTAGGCTAGAACTATGAGGTGAGTGAAAAGCGCACACCTCATAGTTCTCCTTTAAACTGACGCTCGCTGTATCCAGCGTCTGGCAGAATAAGCCAAATGCGCAGCAGGATTCCCCGCTACGCTAATAGCACAACATGTAAGAAGCTGGAGCGCTGAATGCAGTGACTGACAGGTTATGCAAAATGTTAAACAGGAAGGGAGAAGGGAAGCTCTGATTCTTCTCATCACATAGTAGTATGTTGTATGAATGAAGCGCCATCATGTACGGGCTGCCAGTACAACAATCCAGCTCAGCAGAACTCGGAGCTCCGCCCACACATACACGCCCCTTTTACACGCCCCCTGACTTCCCAAAACTGAAAGGTCGAACTCTGCCCACTTTACCCCCGCCCACTGGCATCGCCCTCCAATGTCTGACGTCACGCCCTCTGTGCGTTCTTTCTCTATCTCCTGTCCAGGTCCCGGCTCAGCTGGTGATTGGTGAGATTGGCAAAGGAGGGCCCGGGTGTCTTCTCCGCCTCATGACGCCGCTGTAACGCCCCCTTCCTCGCGGCTTCTCTCCGGGTTATTGAAGGATAAGGGCGGCGCGGTTGTGGACGGTCAGAAACACCCGATAGCACGAGGACGAATTCGGGCACACCCGGTGTATGTGCGGCAACACTATGTCCGCACCCTTGCCTGCCATAGTGCCCGCCGCCCGAAAGGCCACGGCCGCGGTGAGTCCTCCTCTATAGCCCCGACTGTCCTGTGCCGAGCCAAACTTCAGTGTCACCTCTCATTGCATGTACTTATCAACTTGTGTGTGCGCCCGCCTCCTTCCTACCAGTGCCGGCACCCCTATCACCTCCGTACCCAATGTCTGACTTCCCAGCAGCCTCTGCTGTCATCCCTTCCACTACACCCATTGTGTCTGGTCACCCGCTCTTCTCAGTGCAACCCGACCTCCACCTCTGTGCCGCCCTTGACCTACTGCCTGACTGCTTCTCCATGCAACCAGATCTCCACCTCACCTACTGCCCTGACTGCTTCTTCGTGCAACCGGACCTCCACCTACTGCCCTGACTGCTTCTCCATGCAACTAGATCTCCACCTCACCTATTGCCCTGGCTGCTTCTCTGTGCAACCATATTTCCACCTCACCTATTGCCCTGACTGCTTCTCCGTGCAACCGGACCTCCACCTCACCTACTGCCCTGACTGCTTCTCCATGCAACTGGACCTCCACCTCACCTACTGCCTTGACTGCTTCTCCGTGCAACCGGACCTCCACCTCACCTACTTCCCTAACTGCTCCTTGCAAGCGCACCTTCACTTCACCTACTGCCCTGACTGCTTCTCCGTGCAAGCGCACCTCCACCTCACCTACTGCCCTGGTCGCTTCTCTGTGGAACCGGACCTCCACCTCACCTACTGCCCTGACTGCTTCTCCGTGCAAGCGCACCTCCACCTCACCTACTGCCCTGGTCGCTTCTCTGTGGAACCGGACCTCCACCTCACCTACTGCCCTGACTCCTTCTCCGTGCAACCATATCTGCACCTCACCTACTGCCCTGACTGCTTCTCCGTGCAAGCGCACCTCCACCTCACCTACTGCCCTGGTCGCTTCTCTGTGGAACCGGACCTCCACCTCACCTACTGCCCTGACTCCTTCTCCGTGCAACCATATCTGCACCTCACCTACTGCCCTGACTGCTTCTCCGTGCAAGCGCACCTCCACCTCACCTACTGCCCTGGTCGCTTCTCTGTGGAACCGGACCTCCACCTCACCTACTGCCCTGACTCCTTCTCCGTGCAACCATATCTGCACCTCACCTACTGCCCTGACTGCTTCTCCGTGCAAGCGCACCTCCACCTCACCTACTGCCCTGGTCGCTTCTCTGTGGAACCGGACCTCCACCTCACCTACTGCCCTGACTCCTTCTCCGTGCAACCATATCTGCACCTCACCTACTGCCCTGACTGCTTCTCCGTGCAAGCGCACCTCCACCTCACCTACTGCCCTGGTCGCTTCTCTGTGGAACCGGACCTCCACCTCACCTACTGCCCTGACTCCTTCTCCGTGCAACCATATCTGCACCTCACCTACTGCCCTGACTGCTTCTCCGTGCAAGCGCACCTCCACCTCACCTACTGCCCTGGTCGCTTCTCTGTGGAACCGGACCTCCACCTCACCTACTGCCCTGACTCCTTCTCCGTGCAACCATATCTGCACCTCACCTACTGCCCTGACTGCTTCTCCGTGCAAGCGCACCTCCACCTCACCTACTGCCCTGGTCGCTTCTCTGTGGAACCGGACCTCCACCTCACCTACTGCCCTGACTCCTTCTCCGTGCAACCATATCTGCACCTCACCTACTGCCCTGACTGCTTCTCCGTGCAAGCGCACCTCCACCTCACCTACTGCCCTGGTCGCTTCTCTGTGGAACCGGACCTCCACCTCACCTACTGCCCTGACTCCTTCTCCGTGCAACCATATCTGCACCTCACCTACTGCCCTGACTGCTTCTCCGTGCAAGCGCACCTCCACCTCACCTACTGCCCTGGTCGCTTCTCTGTGGAACCGGACCTCCACCTCACCTACTGCCCTGACTCCTTCTCCGTGCAACCATATCTGCACCTCACCTACTGCCCTGACTGCTTCTCCGTGCAAGCGCACCTCCACCTCACCTACTGCCCTGGTCGCTTCTCTGTGGAACCGGACCTCCACCTCACCTACTGCCCTGACTCCTTCTCCGTGCAACCATATCTGCACCTCACCTACTGCCCTGACTGCTTCTCCGTGCAAGCGCACCTCCACCTCACCTACTGCCCTGGTCGCTTCTCTGTGGAACCGGACCTCCACCTCACCTACTGCCCTGACTCCTTCTCCGTGCAACCATATCTGCACCTCACCTACTGCCCTGACTGCTTCTCCGTGCAAGCGCACCTCCACCTCACCTACTGCCCTGGTCGCTTCTCTGTGGAACCGGACCTCCACCTCACCTACTGCCCTGACTCCTTCTCCGTGCAACCATATCTGCACCTCACCTACTGCCCTGACTGCTTCTCCGTGCAAGCGCACCTCCACCTCACCTACTGCCCTGGTCGCTTCTCTGTGGAACCGGACCTCCACCTCACCTACTGCCCTGACTCCTTCTCCGTGCAACCATATCTGCACCTCACCTACTGCCCTGACTGCTTCTCCGTGCAAGCGCACCTCCACCTCACCTACTGCCCTGGTCGCTTCTCTGTGGAACCGGACCTCCACCTCACCTACTGCCCTGACTCCTTCTCCGTGCAACCATATCTGCACCTCACCTACTGCCCTGACTGCTTCTCCGTGCAAGCGCACCTCCACCTCACCTACTGCCCTGGTCGCTTCTCTGTGGAACCGGACCTCCACCTCACCTACTGCCCTGACTCCTTCTCCGTGCAACCATATCTGCACCTCACCTACTGCCCTGACTGCTTCTCCGTGCAACCGGACCTCCACCTCACCTACTGCCCTGACTCCTTCTCCGTGCAACCATATCTGCACCTCACCTACTGCCCTGACTGCTTCTCCGTGCAACCGGACCTACACCTCTGTGTCGCCCTTCACCTACTGCCCTGACTGCTTCTCCGTGCAACCGGAACTACACCTCACCTACTGCCCTGACTGCTTCTCCGTGCAACCATATCTCCACCTCACCTACTGCCCTGATTGCTTCTCCGTGCAACCGGACCTTCCCCTCTGTGTCCATCTTCACCTACTGCCCTGACTGCTTCTCCATGCAACCGGACCTCCACCTCACCTACTGCCCTGACTGCTTCTCCGTGAAACCGGACCTTCACCTCTGTGTCCATCTTCACCTACTGCCCTGACTGCTTCTCCGTGCAACCAGATCAGATCTCCACCCCTATGTTCACTTTCAGCTGCTGTCCTGACTGCCCAGCACACCAAACTCTGGTTACCCTTCTTCCTACAACCTAATCTCTATGTCCCCTTGCACCATGTGTCCTGATTGTCCAACACACCCAACTCTGGTCACCCCACTTCTCCCTTCAATTTGATCTGTGTCCCCCTCCTCCAAATGTTCTGTCTGCCATGCACACCCCAACTCTGGTCACCCTCTCTTCTCCATACACCTACATCTCTGTGTCCCCCTCCTCCAGCTGCCCCACAGTGGTCACTTGATCTCTGTGCTCCCCTCCTCCAACTGTCCTGTCTGCCCAGTACCCTCCACTCTGGTTACCCCTCTTCCCCATACATCCCAACCTTCACCTCTGTGTCCCCCTCCACCAACTGTCCTGACTGCCAAGAACACCCAACTCTGGTCAACGCTCTTCTCTATACAGTCCAACGTCCACCACTGTGACCCTGTCAACCAACCGTCCTACCTGTCCAGCACACCCAACTCTAGTCACCCCTCTTTATATAGCCCAACGTCCACCAACCATCCTACCTGTCTAACACACCCAACTTTGGTCACCCCTCTTCTCTATCCAGTCCAAACTGTGACCCCCATCCACCAACCGTTCTACCTGTCCAACACTCCCAACTCTGGTGCCCCCTTCGTCATACAACTCCTAACCTCCACCTCTAATGTATTTTCTCTTCCCCAGCTCTCCCGTCACCTCCCACCCTCCAATCTGGTCACTCTCTTTTTCAATTATTGGCACCATGCTGCCTGATGTTCCACCTCTAATGCGTCCCCCTTCATCTCCTCAACTGCACCTCTACCTTCTCTTCCCCAGCTCTCTTCTGTCACCCAACATCCTCAAATCTTCTTCAAATATTGTCACCATACAGCCCAACTGCCATGTCTAATGCGTCTTCCTCTTTGAATTCCCCAGTTCTCTTCTGTCTTCTATTACCCTCACCACCTTTTCTCTAAACATTGTCACCATACTGCCCACTTCCTACCTCCTGTGTCCGCTTCCACCAATTGCACTGTCCCAGTTTTCTCCTGTCTTCAATCAACCTCAAATCTGGTCTCCCTCTCTTCTCTTCACTATTGTCACTAACCCTGCCCAACATGCCATCTCTGTCCTCCTTCAATGAGTTCCCTGCCACCCTGTCTTCCTCAGCTCGCTTGTCACCCATCACCCTCAGCTATTGTCAGTCTCTCTTTCTTTTTCCAGCTGTGTAATTTATTACTCCGAACTCCTTTCACCCTGTCTTCTCCAAATGCTTTATGGTCTCTAAGCACCCCAGTTACACCCCAACTCCATTCCCCCAAATATTGCATCATCCTTTAGCACCACAGCTACTCATCTTTACATACTGCTTCATTGCCAAGTCCCTACAATTATTTTCATCTGTAATGTTCTGCAGCTGTCAGCAGTTTCTGGTATTCTCATTGTGTCCTCCTCACTCTCCACCAACTGTCTGCAGAACGGGGTACACTTCTCCTTTTAGCGGTGCCAACAGCTTTGTAGTGTAAGGTCCTGTCTGATTGTACACAATAAATGGATTACTTGAGTAGACTCTCATCCAGTTTGAAATTCCTGAACAAGATTGTATAGTGTGCAGTCAGCTTCACTCCCCAACACTTGGATTTTCTAAAAAGTGCTTTATATCCATATTACATGTTTCTACTTGCATTATACAAGTTTAAATTGTTCTGAGCAAGTTAGGTTCATACTTCTATTTTGAAAATGAACACCACTTCTCATCTCTAACATGAGGGGGATTTGTTCTGTAGTCCAGCAGTGGAGACCTCCGGCAGGGCTGACTACACTGCTTGGGACGTCA